TAATTTTTCAATACAATTTCAGCACAATTTTTATATATTTCAAATTTCAAATTTTTTTTCTGTACGATTTCTCTACGCTACGTTAAAATTTCTGTACAATAATGTTTGTATGGAAATTGAAATAACTACACAAATACTGTATGATTTCAGTATACACCTGTACGAAATCAGTACGAAACATGTACAATTTTTTTTCATAGGGACTCGAACTCAGATTCTCTTATATCAAATACTCTTTTCATTTTGAATTTTCTAGTAATATTTGGATTTTGCTATCGAGTTTATAATAGCCTGATAAATCTTCAGCAATTGACGGAGAGAAATTTGAATTTTTTTACCTGATACTAGTTTAATAATCATTTAACTCTATTTTCAAACCCATCTATTTCAACTGTTCATGTGAGATAATTGAACATTTTGAGCACGAATTTACAAGTGTACTGTGATTGCATGCTATCAATTTTTCTGTACCTTCTTGCTCTAATTTTATATCATTATCTTCAGAGACAATCCGCAATACTATTGTTCCATTTTTTCGTAATTGTTGGATGAGTAGGTTCAGTAATAGGAGATTAAAATTCAAAAAGAATAATAATTACGCAGCATCGTCATTATCATTAGTGAAGCTAGATTCAACACAGAAATCATTGTGACCGCCCAGTCACAGGTAAATTACTATTCTTCCTTCATTAACTAGAGCATTCGACATATCCTCACCATACAGTATGTTGTACTAAGATAATCCAAAATTGTGGGTTGTTTTGCGTATAGGACATGCAACTTGGACTGTGATTATAAGATCATAATCCAGAGAAAAACTTACAAGTGCTTATCTATTTTTTAAAAGAGTATATATTTTCGATAAACAGAAAGGTATATTAATTATTTGCTCTATTATATGTATTATCCGGCATCTCGTGACTATTTTACAATTAACAATGACTATAATGTAACGTGTATCAGCCATTAAAATCATGCCCAATCTCAAAGAGAAAAAGGTCGTTTATTAGATACTAATAATGATTTATAGCTTTAATGTAAGAATATTTACCTTCCATTCTCCATTGAAGTAAGCGAAAAGAAAATTGTTTGAGAAAAAAATTTTTACGTTGAAAAAAAGTTTAAACAATAAATATCTTAAAAAGGATTTTCAGTATCACAGGACATTGTGGTGTGTTCGGTCAACTGATTAAATCAAAACTATATATGGTATCATATAAAAATTTACTAATGAAATATTAAGCTATTTTATACTATAATTTATCTTATAATAAATTTCATATTAAAATCAATATATTTTCGCACTTCCATAACTTGGAATTCTACTTATCTTTCGTGCTCTAAATTCTGCGAAAGTAATATAAATCATTAATTCTTTCATGTATTAGAAAGTTTTTTCCCAAAAAGACACACAAAACTATTACTTTACAGGAAAAAAATTTTTTTTGCAGTTTTTTCAAAAAAACGCTATATTTCGACTTTTTTAAAGATATCCTATCCTATGTTCATTTAATTATTTGGAATTGCATAAAAACTAATACAGCATAACTTATCGAATTTTTAAAATTTCGGATTAGTTACTAGGAAATGCCACCACAAGCCCGTAATTTAAAAAAGCACATGAAATACGGGTTCATTAATTTTTCTATTCATTTCATTTTTCTTTGCTTCTGATTGGTCTTTTAATTTTTGAAGTAATAAATGAGATGGATGAATCTTAACTTGATAACGTATTGGAATCGCTAAAAAAAATCAAAAGAATATTTAGTGAAAATGATTCACAACGGATTAAATTAATGTCTACAATTCAACAATTATCTGATAAAGAGGTCTCGTCAGCAAGTCATCTTATTGAAACTATGCGTTATCCAAATGGTTTAAATGCAGGCTAACTTCTATCACCATATCTTCAAATTATTTCTATTGCTGATAGTTATTATAAATACCAATTATCAAATAAATCTTTAAAAGATGCAAATTTTAAACTTGATTTGAAAATAAAAGGCTTGATCGTCAAATAAAAAAGTTAATTGGAAGGACAAAACGAAGTTATTCCTCTAATACAGTTTGGCTTGCAACTAGCCTTACACAAATAGGAGAACTTTAATGTGCTCTTCAATTGAATGTACTAAATTAATTTATGACCTTTTAATTGATGAGTCTCTTCGAAATGGTTATCAACCTCAACATTACATACATAGCATGAAGATATCTCTCAATTACACATTAATAATCAAATTTCTTAAATTGCAAATGCACCAGTCTTTGGAATAATGGTTGATGAATCCACCTGTGAAGAAATAAAAAACTTTATTCTTTGCTATCAAGTATGGAGTGAAAAAGAACAAATTCCTATAGTTATTATAGTAAGGCTTAAAACTATATCGTGTAATAGTAGACAGTTTCTAATTCAGTTGCTCAATCAATTCAAAAAGATGGACTTGATACTACTAAATGTATCTTATGGGTTACTGATAATACAGCATATATGGCAAGTAATAAAAAGGGTGCTGTAGCTCTTTTAAATAAAAAAAACTGGGTTAAATGCTTTTCGAATTGGTTGTGGGCTTCATATTATGCAAATTATACTTAATCACTTTGTACAAGAAGCATTTGGTAAACTTTTCAATTCTACTGGATTTTCTTGAAAATTGCATCCATATAATCTCTTATATTTGGCATAGCATTTACATGATGACTATAATTCTAGTGATAAATATAAACCTTTAAATCTTAATGCATCAATAATTAAAGATTTGTATGATAAATTAATGGAATTTCATTATAACCAGTACCAATAGCTAGCCACTTCATTCTCGTTGGGGTTATGAATTACAAACAGCAAAATAATATTTAGATTGACGTGAAGCTCACATTTTATTTGCTCGTTAGTTTATTATTCAGCTAGAAAATTATCATTATACAACAAAAGCATATTTAAATGATTAGCATCCTTTTTAATTATAGTTATCTAATTCAATACTTAAATTCAAATAAAATGCTTAGTAAATTTTGCAGAACATTTTTATAAATTATTGGCACAATTTATAGTAAGTCTATATCCTAATCTACGTATAATACAAAATGGAAAATTAGATAAATTACCTTTTGGTAGAAGATCATGCGAAATGCCAAATAAAGTGTGTGAATGGAAAGATATTCTTGGAAATCTCAAAAATAATGTAGAAATGTTTTTTGTTGATTAATTATCAGAAACTATTGAAATATTATCAAATGATGAATTTAGAGAATTATTCAATAGTTTAGAAAATGGAATTAATAAAGCTTATGAATATTTTGAAAAGTGGTTAGATCCATGGCTTCATTTACTTTTAGTTATTTGTCATCTAGATGGAATTCATTTGCCAATAGTTTTCGTTTTACAATTTTAAAAAGAGATTGGAATAAAACACATACAGATTTAGAATTAATATTTGCAAAGAATTTAGAAAATAACATTAATTGTAGAATTGGTAATACTGTTTACAAGCAATATTATTGTATAATAAAGAATTTGATGATGAATTGTAGAAATTTTGCAAAGCTGATAATCCTATATGTACAAATTTCCTCAGCTTCATAATTTCGTTAAAACACACATATATTTTATTATTATTCATCAATAACAGGTCAAGGGACTTTTTAACAAATTAGACTTGAAAACTCATACAAACATGTCACTATCTCTTAAACAATCAAAACTTTGATTAGCTTCAAGTAAGATTGAAAAAGAGAATTTGATGTAGGGTCTTGAAAAAATATGGGCTCAAAAAAAAGAGCAAAATAATGTTCCAATTGTCCTATTGCAAGCTATTTAACCACTACAATATGGAATAGAAGTTGTATCAGATTTTTTTAATAATTTATTGAATATGTAAAAAAAGCTACATTAATTTACAAATATTTAAAACTGTTGCTGCATATTAATAAAAAAATAAACAAAAAAAATATAATGTAAATTTTGAAAAAAATACCAGAATACATGGTATTAAAATGCTAGTTTTAATTATACTTTAAATCAAAATATATTGTAATTACAAAAAAAAAAATTTCAATAGTAAATTTTTATATAATACTATATATAGTTTTAATTTAATTAGTTGATCAAACACCCCAACAGGACATCAGTGTTTAAACTTCCATTCATTTACTAATAAAAGCGAGCCATAATATTTTAAAACTATATAACATATTTACACATTTCTTTTTAGAAACCTTTAGCGTATTTAAAAAAATAATCCATTGTTTAAGCTCAAAAATTTATTGACCATACTAGGAGACCGCAAGCATGAGGAATGTCATAGCAAAGCCACGTGAAGGAAATTTTTGTATAAAAATTACATATATCGTGATCTAATTTTAGCGCAGTAAAAACCCGAAAGGTGACAATAATATTATTTTCGAACTGAGCCGATCAATTCTTTTTTTTAAAAAAATGCTAACCAATCATATTTCGTAAATATTTGATTGTTTTTTATTAAAACATTCTTTAACAATCTTAATAGACTTTTATGTTATAAAGCATTTCATAAATTTCTAAATTTTAAATAATGACATAAATGTAAAGCTAACAAAGTTTAGAATTAATTAATTCTTCGGTATATTTCCATCATATTTCAGCTTGTTCTCCATCTTAAGCTGCTGAAGATTTCTATCTAATTTTACCAAATATTGATTACGGTAATCTTTTTAACAATTTCAGGGCTTGTGGTAGCATATTAAGGTGTTAAGCTCCATTCTTCAGAAATGACAAAAGATCGAGACTTATTCCGTATATTTATTTCCAAATATTAATGAAAGTTTATAATTAAAGAGCATGTTATAACTTTTGAACAAGAATAATCTATTTTGATGACTCTTGATTTTGTAAATATCAAATAATAGTTAAACTGCAAAGTGAAGTAAATTTCATAAAATAATGGTCTTGCTTTAACTTTTTTAGCATGCTATTAATACAACAAATCCGTTAAAATATACTGTAAGTATGCAGAAAGTATAATTGCAGCCAAAGATAAATTAAATATTAAATCAATTAAATAAAGAATAGAATTTTTATTATTGATGTAGCTAAGACGCAATACTTATAATTTAAAATAAAATTTTCTAAATTTGAAATTTATTTTTTTTAATTATAAGGTGGAAATTTGCTTAATTTAGTATGCATCATATCATGCCGCTTTGTAATTATTAATAACTTGTATAATACAATTTTCAACAATAATTAAGTTGTGATAAAATTTAATATTTACCGTAACATTAAAGTATTATGCCTCAAATACTACGCTAAGATCTTCACAATGTGTATCACCATTATCATTATACAAGATAATTTTTTGGTTTGGTTGGAAAAAAAAAATTTTTTTTTCTAATTTAAAAAAAGCATTCTTTTAAAAATAATAACAATGTCTGATAGTAACAATAAAGGTAAATGTTTAATAAAAATGCCAAAACAAAAATATAGATATTTCTACCATTTTCACCAACAAAAATAACGGAAATAAAACTTAGCATGTTTGAAATGAGTATATTTGATGGTTAGATGATTTCTAAAAAAAAAGTTATTTCACAAATTCACAGAGTCATTATCGGATATTATGGAAGTATCCTCATTAGAAAAAATAGAAGGTAACGGTAATTCCATATATTATTAACCACATTTAAATATGATA